CTGGTAACTGCTTTGCCTAGTTACTAGTTCCTTATTCGAATAAGGGCCAGTTCCCAGTTCCCAGTTTTGTGTATGGCTAGGTGCCATCATCACTTTATATAGTAATATTTATAGTAATATCTAATTTATTCTGTAGAAATCAATTCCAAGTTTCAGCCATGGCTATGGCAGATTTGGTGGAGAAGTTTGGGGTGGCATTCGAACCATACACCATCAAGATGGTATCGGCCATTAGAAGTTCTAGCAGGAAAGAGCGTATCGACAAACTGAGAGCAGCAGGCTACAACACGATGTCCTTGAACACGGAAGACGTGATGATAGACCTTGTTTCAGACTCGGGAACAGCAGCAATGAGTAATCAGCAGTGGTCCTCCATGATGCTAGGTGACTTCAGTACACTTCCGTATATTCATTGCCATTGTCCTGACCCATAGAAATAATATACTAGTTTGTATATTTAGTATAGACTATATAGTATCTCTATATTTCTGTGGTGCTGACACGTTGTGTATGCACAGCGAAACTAACTATTTCGGCCTTACGGAATACTCATTTTAGTGGGTCAGTGAAGTTAGCTCTATTATTATTATATATATATATATATATATAGTAACTGATTGTTTACTATATATGAATGATTATGAGTATGGCTTTGAAATACTCGTAATGCGTTTGTGTAGTGAAAGCATTGGAAAACATTTATAACAGTAAAATAACATTAGAATTCTACCATTCTTGTCGACCGACTCTTTCTGTCTGTGTATCGCGATACGTATTGTATCCATTCTATTGTATCATTACACTTCTTCTTCTAACCCTAACCTCACATGATAATAACATAATATCATAATATATAATACATATCATATAGCATATATAATTATATATCTGATATATGCTGTAAATGTGAATTGTTACAGCAGTAGTAATGATTGTATACTCTTGCTTATATCTACTGAAAATAATACAACATGCAATGTGATTACGCCATTGTATTTGTAATGATATATGTATATAGAGTATACAAAGTGCGGGAGCGGCTAGTTCTGCATTAATTTGTGTGAAAGCAAGTTGATATACAGTGACACAACACTCAACAGTGGAAGTGTAATTGAGGGGTAGTAAATTGTATTTGTGAATGTGCGTTCAGAATCATATTATTATTTTCAGTTTTTACTGACTCTGTCCCAAGTACCTGAGGCTGTGCATACACACACCATGGCCACCTACTGGGCTATACCTACTGGTAGTACAGTAATAAAGATACAGCTGTGTAACTTTAATGACTTCGCTATATTAACATGTTATCATGGATATACGTTGAGCGCGAGCGTAGTGGTGGTAGGGGGTGGGGGGGGCTCTAATAGCAAAAGCAGTTCAGTCGTTTGTTAACAGTCAACAAATCCATGTTTAACCCTCCTCTTGAGGGTCAAAAGGTTATCAGACACTTACTCTGCACGTCAGCGGAAAGTAGATTTCATGGTCCTTTCAATAAAATGATAAAAACGGTAAGTCAGCACTGAAACAAAAAAGTTTTGCACTCGGTCCGTTAGACCATGTCCTCAGAAAATGTCTGATATCTGACCTTTCCCCCATTGCCCTTTGACCTAGCTGTGACATCCAATTTCGCGCTGGTGATGGGTTTCCTCCCTATCACACCATACATCGAATATTAAGAGCATAGGTCATGCCGTTGAGATTTGTGCCGCAATTCCGTATTTCCTCCTATACCTAAGTTAAGGGGGAAATATTCCACCTCCATTGACACAAATCTTGACCTTTGAACCTTGAACCCCAAATTCGACATCCAGAGTCCTTTTCGCGATCCCCTCCCGACGTCCCAAATATCAAGACCGTACGTCGAGCGGTTAAGATTTGTGCCAAACTGTTGACGGACGGACGGACGGACAATCATGCGATTCTACAAGCTGCATCTGACTTCGTCAGCTGAGCTAAAAAGGCATGCCTTAAGCCTAGGACACACTAGCGATTCTGTACGCTGCCCGGCAGTGTATATGTTCGCTCACGATTTTAGAACGCCGTACGAGTTGCGCGTACAGCTGGACACACTGTCCGGTGTCAAACCACTCTAACGGCTTTCCTAGCTTTCGTTGCTACACTTGATTAGCTGCTAAAAACAATCGCGTTCGAACACGATTGTTCACTGTTGGGCACGCTAGTGCAAGCGCATGCAAACGCATGCGCTGTACGCAAGCGATGAAAAACCGGGCGGAAATATTCAACATGTTGAATGCGAGCGATCAGCCGGGCGTATGGGATCGCGTGCGAAATACGCTGCCGTGAGACCGGACACACCGCGCGGACCCGGCACCGTATTTATCGATCGCAAGCGGCCAGCGTAGAAAATCGCACAGTGTGTCCTAGGCTTAAGGCTAAGTCTAAGATAATAGCAGACAGAAATTAGCATAGCTAGTATTCGGATAGTACCGATTGATATTTGATGTTGGCAATGTTGCTATTCATCCTGCCCTTACCTTCTTAACGCCGGTACCTATGTCTAACGGACCTTCTGTAGCAATTGAAGCAGACTATCCGTACTGAGTACACTTCGCCCTGAGACCAGAATATAAAGACACCGATGGCGATAGTAGACTGGTACCCGTTCGCCACCTTCACTCCGGCATATATCCTTCGCTACACTGACGTTAGTGTAGCGTAGGGACCCTAGTGTAGCGTATGGAACTGTCGACCGGGTACCAGTCTATGGCGATAGCAGTAAGAGCTATTATTAGAGAGCTGTTATTAGCGCTTGATAACTTTTTTTGCAAAAGGATTGAATTATTTTGACAATGTGGCTCCATCTCTCGGTGCAATATTTACGCAGTTATCTGTGGTTATCATAGGCTACAACTGAAGACCCTATAGAAATGTACCTATGAATATGTTCCTTCTGTCTCGCGCGCGCTCTCTCTCTCTTTTGCTCGTTCTTTCGTACTCTCTCTGAGTCTATCTGTCTCTCTCGATTTCTTTCCCCATGTGTGTGTGTGTGTGTGTGTGTGTGTGTGTGTGTGTGTGTGTGTGTGTGTGTGTGTGTGTGTGTGTGTGTGCGTGTGTGTGTGTGCCTGCGTATTTAGGTGTGGTTAAGTGCGTGTG